ACACCAAAGTCAGCCGCAGCTGGCTCCGCAGCAGGCCGCAGACAGGGCGGGTGGACCTGTTTGTGGCGCGGCACGGCGAGGAGCTGGCCAGCTCCCATGGGCGGCCTGCACAATGCCACAGCAGTGATGTCACAAGCCACTTCCGCATCGACGCCACTATGGTGCACCGCAGCAGGCAGGCCTCAAAGGCCGCTTCTGACAGCCGGGTGCGTGGGAGTGCAGCTGCGGTTGGGGGGGTGACATGAGCGCCGGCCGTGCACGGCTCGGCCTGCTGCCGCTGCTGCTGGGCCTGGGCGGTGGTACCCGCTCACCTCCACTCCGTTGGCGGCGGCCACGTTGCTACCAGCTGGCCATAGCGCTGTTGTTTTGTCGATTGCTGATTGTCACATGATGGGCTGACCAGTGAGAGCTCACCGGTGCTCGCTCTTGGTCGGGGCACTTTGTCTTTTGCACTCACGTCTTTTGCACCGCTTTGATCCAATCCCCCCTGTCTGCTCATTACGCTGCAGGGTCATCTAAGAGATGGCGTGGGCTCCCTGCCGCCGACGTGGTTTTCAGGACTGACCAGGTGCCCATGCAAGACGGGCCAAGTTGCTGATCGGGGATGTTGTTAGCCAGCACTGCGCATGGACCCGCCGAGCTGTCACCTTGGGCCGCCGCCGATGCCCGCTTCGCCATCCGCCCGCTCAATCACGAGGATACGCCTGGTGCTGGTGAGGCAGCAGAAAGCTTGGGTGGTGCTTGCTGCTGCGAGCGCCATTTCTGTCGCTGCTCTGCACCTTGGTTGTGGTGCCGGTCGGCAGCCTGCCCTGCTCCTGCCGCGGCCCAGCGGACAGTGTGTGGCCGCAGCAGAAGCAGCAGGCAGACACGCCGCACACGCCGCACACGCCGGCACCCGCGCCGCCGCCCTCCGCGCCCCGTTCACGCTTTGCCCTGCTGCGGTGGGGCCGTGTGCCCATGCAGGCTCTCTGCGGGCAGGTGTGAGACGCGCGGTAGCTTGACATGAGCAAGTGTGCAGGACGCAGATGTAGGCAGTGCTTTGGGGTCGGGAGGCACGGCCAACTTCTCCTTGCATTTCCGTCTCTAATGCAGCTCTGAGCGCCGCCAGCCAACATCAAGGGTGCCTGCTGCCCTCCCGCCTGCAGGTGGGGCTGCGGCCTGGGCGCCCTTCAGCGCTGTTGGAGCTGGAGCAGGTAGCACTCAAGCAGCAGCGACCAGGCGGCAGCAGCGGCAAGAGCAGCCTGCCGGTAGTGCACAACTATGGGCATGGAGGTGCCGGCCTCACGCTAGCATGGGGATGCGCGGCAGACGCAGTGCAGCTGGTGCAGCAGGCGCTCGGCCAGCGGTGATGCCAGCAGGGACACTTTCTTTTGCTCTGCTGTCCCACATGCTCTGCAATACCAACTGGTGCCCGCCTGCCGCACAGAGGCAGTTTGAGAGTATGCTGCTGCCGCCATCAGACAGACCCATCGGTGCTCCCACTAGTGGGCCATTTGCGGCTCGCTGCAACCAGGAGCCAAAAATTCAGCGGCGTGCGAGGGGATCCCCTGTCATTTGCCAGAGTACGGCGGTACACTTACAATTCCCCACAAGCTTAGGCCTCCCAGCCCAGTGCAGCAGCCTTGGACGCCTGTGAGTTCCCTGCCACGCACTGAGACCCTCTTCCTACGTATCTCCCTCCTGTTCGGCAGCATGTACCTCAATCTGGAGAGGCTGCAGCTCTGCACAGCCCCAGAGGGAAGCACAGAGACTGCGAGCAGCAGTGTGGACGCCGTCGGTGCCGTGCCGCCAAGCGCAGCCCCGATGCCGCTCCACCTGCGCCTGACTCGGCGGATGGAACAAGCAGTGACCCTATTCTCCATCCTCCTCCAGCTGGCCCTCTACACCCGCTCAGCCACCACGCTGACGCTACAGCAGCACATGCAGCAGGCCATGCTGCTGGCGCTGCGGGGCGTCTGCCTGATGGTGGCGACCTACCTGCCGACGCATTCGTGGCTCAAGTACAGGTGAGGAGGTGCGCATTGCGCATAACGACTGGGAAGTGCCTTGCCAGCTGTTGCGATTGCAAACTTAGCATTCCCGGCTGGCTGCAGGGTGATGCTGATTGGAGCCCTGCGCATCGCCATCGCTTGCGTCCCCAGCCAGCGAACCGCCGGGGAGGGCGATGCTGTGCTGCTCAGCCGGCCAGCCACCCGCGGCACTCTGGGCGCGCTGCAAGACTGGCTGCGGCTGGCCACCGGCACTCGGCTGCTGCCCATGGCTGTGATTGGCGCAGTGCTGCAGCAGCCGCCGCTGGCGGTGATGGTGCAGCAGGCGCTGCTCATTCTGCTGACATCCGACAATGCGGGCTATTGCACCAGCCAGCTGCTGTCAGAGCCGCTCATGCAGCACCGCCTGGCAGCCCTGTCCCACGTGCTCGACGCCTGGACACCCATCGTGGCACCCAGCCAGGCCACTCTCAGCAGCAGGACCTGGGCTGGTCTGTCGGGTGCGCAGGGTGAGCGGACGGGGCAGAGCCGATGCCAACAAACCTGCCCAGTTGTCAACTTGACATCTGCACCCTGCCGCATCCCCTGACGGTTCGGCCCGCTGGATTTCTTGCTCCTCCCCCTTTCAGAGCAACCGCACCTGCTCCAATGCTTCTCGGTTGTCGGATGGCTCCAGGGCGTGATTGGAGTGATGGTTCCAGTCCTGGTGGCTGGCTTCACCGCGCCTGCTCCGGTGGGAGCATCAACCCCAGACCAGCCCGCACATACTGTCCAGCAGCATCCACAGAATGCGCCAATTGTTGCTCCGGGCAGGATGAAAGCAGCCGCCAGCTGGTTGCAGCGTGTGGTGTGTGCGGTGGCGGCGGGAGTCGCGCGGCTGGATGCCTCGCTGCAGGACTGCTGCCAGCAGGGCGGCCTTGCCAGGCTGACGCTCCTGCTGGTGTTGGGCCTCTTGGTAGCCAAGATGTGGCCGCTGGCCAAGGCCAGGGCAATGCGCTCCCTGCGCCTGTCTGGGGCTACAGAGCGCGCGTGACAGCTCCAGCCATCAGCCTGTACCATGCATCTGCCTGTACCATGCATATGCTCATGTGCCTGACCTTTCATGAACTCCTTTTGCATGTGGAAAGAATGCCAACCAAAGACAAAAAGGGGAATACTCTGAGAACAGAGGACAGAAAAGGAGACGCGGAACAGAAATGGAGATGCGGATCAGATGCGGATCGGATGGGGGCAAACAAGAACTACACGTGGGGCCACAAGAGCGAGAGTCAACTAGCAGGAGTTGGTGCAGCAGAATAAACAGAAACAAAAAAAGCACCAGAGCCTTTGCGCATTCATTTATGAGTTGAACCCCACGGGTCACGACGGCCTCAGATGCCGCCCAGCAGCTTCTTGCTGGTCTCGTAGATCCCCCAGCAGATCGCAGCTGCAGCAGCGCATCAGACGGCACAGATGACGGTGCTGGCAACAGAGGGAAGCCCCAAGTCGCAGCAAAGACCCCCCGCTGGCACAACAGACTGCAATTGGCAACCACGACATCGTCCCTCTCAGAAAGGCAAGCGCACCTGAGGGTGCATGGAAGAGCACGCGGGGCTGCCAGCCCCGCCACAACGCCATGGCCCCCTCCTCGCGCGCTATCTGCCTCAGCACTGGCCACTGCAGACAGAGAGGTACATAGGCAAGCAGGCTAGTGGATTGCGGCAAGAGCATCAAGAACCACTGCCAACTGCAGCAAGGTTGCCCCGCAGCGGCAGCTTACCACGCTGGTTGTATTGTAGCGTGTCGCGCTATTCAGGCCCTCCAGCTGTAGCCGCGTCTTCACAACATCCAGCGGCGTGGTGGCTGCGGCTGCCAGGCCCCCTGCCACGCCGCCTGCCACCAACTGCACCCGCAGTCCCTCCTCCTCTTCCTCCTCCCCCTCCTCCTCCTCACCGCTGCTGCCTGCTTGTGCCGCTGCTGCAGTGAGCAGCGGTCCCGCACCGGAGTGTAGCTGCCGCCGGCTGCTGTCGCCAGCGGTTGCTGCTTCTGCCGCGGCGCCTGCTGAGGACCCCACCAGAAACTTCTTTATGCTCTCATATGCCGCGAAATGCAGCGCGGTGTAGGGCACATTCATGACTAGCTGCAGGCACAGAGAAAGATTTCAAACGGCCAGGAGGCATGGGTCAGGAGGGGCGGCTAGGCAGCCAGCGACCAGCATGCCCAACGCTCATTGCCCCATCTCACACGCGGCCCACCACCCCTCGCTTGACGCCAAGCAAACTGCGCCCTGGCCTCACCGTGGTCCAGTAAGACTTGTAGAAAGCGCGCAGCCCCTCCTCCTGAAAGGTGGACTGCGCACAGTGCAGCACGCCACGGTATGGCGAGTGTGACACCTGCGGGACAGCGGCAGCAGCAGGATGGATTGACGGACGTGCAGCCAGGCGAGCCACAAGAGGGGCCTGGCATGTCTAGCTCTGCCACAACAGCAGGCAGCCTCCAGGTCGCTGAACAATTGTGGTACTGCTGTCCATGCGCAGTCCTCAAGAGCCCACCTGCATGCGCTGCTTGACCACATCCCAGGGGGTCATGCAGCCGTCGTTCACGATAGTAGCGGTGGCGCCTGCGCACGGAAACAGCCGCGGCAGCAGCAGGCGGTACCGTCAGCGTCATCTCTTAGAGGCAGCACGATGTGCAGCCCGACGTGGCAGCAAGCAGGCACCTCAGCACTTTGCAAGCTTCTGCACCTGCGGCTGCGGTGGCCAGCGGGTGGTGCCCCTCGCGGTTGCCTCCATACAGCTGCTTGGCTGCCTCGTAGGAAGCAAAGTACAGGGCATGGCTGGGCCTGCACAAGAAAAGCACAGCATATGTAAGTGCAGGACTTCTGGCAGCGGCTGCCTGAAGACGACCGGGTACGACTGGCAAGCATCCATTTGTCGTTTATAAGCTGCCACCCACCCTGCTCCCAGCGCCATGGCCGCGACGCCTCGGTACAAGCCGCCCATCCCCTCCCGCCGCAGCACGTTGCGGAGCGCCGTGACCACACTAGAGTGTAGCTGCAGGCACAGAGAGCGGCGTGGAAAAGTGCCGGAGCGCACCATGAAGGCCCTGCCGTCCTACAGCAGCGAGCTGGTTGGTGTCGGCTGCTGCTGCTGCTAGGCACCACTGCAAGCTCACCTGCTGCCCCGGGTGCGCCAGCGCCTGCATGCGAGTTTTCACCGTGTCGACAGGGTACATGGCGACGTGCTCGCCGATTCCTGCGGCCGCGCCTGCCACCATGTGCTGCAGCAGCAGGGCGAGAACAGGCGGCACGGGCTCGGCGCGACCTATCAAGGGCAGCCTGGAGGCCGGTCTATCGCTTGCTTCTTTTGCAGCACAGGTTTCAAAGCAAACCCTGCTATAACAGGTGTGGGTGGCGGCGGCAGTGGCGGCGGCACTCTTCCGCCGCCAGCAGCCCCAGGGCGGCAGCAGCGCTGCAGCACGTCAGTCGCACCCCGTAGAACGTCAAGCCATCGTAGGAGGCGGCTTTGTGCACGGCAGGGACATCCTGGGTGACAGTAGTGCAGGGGTCTGCCATCTTTGCAGGCTTGTGTTGTGTAGGGGCTGGCGACGGCGATGCAATTCAAGGGGCTCGCCGCCAGCTTTTGGGGTTTGCAGGCGCGCTGCGCAGCAGCCTTTGCTGCCCTTGGTGGTAGACGACTGTAACAAGCGCAGGAGGATGGGCAACAGGCGTCAGGCGCGACAGACAATGCAGGAAGATGCACCGATCACTGGCAACGGTTCACCCAACAGACCTGAGACCTCTGCTCCGCCCCGCTGGCGGCAATTCGGTAGTCAATGCGGCCATTTGGGCATTGACAAGCTCAAGGTTGTCGTAAGCTGTGATAGAAATCAAAGTGAGACGAAGTCAGAAAGGGAATTGAGTAAGGCAAAGTCACTGCTACGACACGCTCGACGCCGGCAGGGCGGCGGCTCCGGCGGGGGTGCAGGCGATGACGTCATCGGGCGTCACGATGGCATCCACCCCCACGTCGTGAGGCTCCACCGGCACCCGCTCCACCAGCTGGCTCCGGAACGACAGTGCCACCAGCAGCGGCGGCGCCCAACCCCGCGCCGCCGCGCGGTCCTGCACCAACAGGAGTTGGGAGGCAATGCTCAAACCAGGTGCAAGCTTGCAAAAAGGCACATCACCAACAGTAATGCCAGACCCAAACGAAAGGCGGAGCGCCCACCTGTGCCGAGTAGATGAACTTGTCGTAGTAACCGCCACCGCGGCCCAGTCGGCGGCCGGACCGGTCAAACGCCAGCCCAGGCATCACGATCAGCTCCAGCGGCTCATCCACCTGGCAGGGAGGCGGCAGGACAGGGGGCAGTGGGGCACGGCCAACCCTGGGTGGGAAGGGAACAAGTGCTGTGGCACAAGCAGCGCCTGCACGGCCCCTGTCACCATGGACGTCTGCCGCCCTAAAACAAGGTCCCCCTCTGCCCACCCACCAGCAGCACGTCCTGCCGCTCCCGCCCGTCGTCGTACGTGGGCCGCGGCTCGCGGATGCCAAACGGTGGCACCTCCTGCAGCGCGCCCCAGCCGTCCAGGTGCAGGAAGTGCATGTTGGCCTCCTTGTCCTGCACCCGCGGCACGTACAACCTGCAGCAAGGTGAAGGGAGCAGCAAAGGGGAGTCAGCTCCCCAGACCTGCAGGATGCGCGCTATGCCGGGCAGGCAGCCTCCACCTGCCGGTGATCTGGCCAACCCACCCAACCGCGGCAGGCGACTTGCACTTCCTGCAGGCAAGCTGTGCGCGTCGCAGCCATGTGGTGCCCAACCCACCGCTTGTGCTCCGCCATGGCCGCCTCAAGGATGGCGGTTGTGTCCACCTCGCGCAGCTTGGCGCAGTGCACGTAGATGATAGCATGGGGGGAGTCGCGGAAGGCAGCGCTGGCCAGCATGCGCGCCGCAATCAGGCGGCCTGCACCGCCGGGGCGTGGGGTGTGTGTGAACAGCAGATGCGGTTGGGGTTGTCTGGAGTGCAGGCATGGGACATGCAAGCAGATGCGGGGCTGCGGCAGTTTTTTGCCACCACCAGAGCAACCGGACCAATGAATGTCTGCCATGCACCACATTCGCAGACATTCGGCCTGATCACACAAGGCAGGGGTGGCACTCACTCTCCTCTGCCATCTGCTCCGCGCTCAGCTGCCGCAGCGCCTTCTTGACCTGCTCCCGCACCCGCCTCTTGTCCACACCCAGCTCAGCTGTCGCCGCAGAGGCCATGCCGTGCACACACAGGCGGTGGGCAGACGCTGCCGCTGCTCCCGCTGCCGCCGCCGCTGCCGGCACCCGCCGGGCCGCGGCGGCCGTGCTGCCCTGTCGTTGCAGGTGCTGCCGGAAGCTACGCGCAGCCAAGCTCGCCAGAGACATCCAATCTTACATTTGGTGGGGCCACCGGGCCTGCTTGCAGAGCCCCTTGGGGCTTCACTCGTGCTAGCTCAAGGGCAGGCTACAGCAGGCGGCGGGATGCCGAGGTGCGATCAGAGGTACGCAGCTATGATGCGAAATTGAGGCCCGGCCAAAACGTTTGTGACCAGCCTGCAGTGCCGGGCTGTCTTTTTGTGCCAGCTGTTTGTGCAGCGTTGGTCAAATCAACAATCGCACCACACACTGCACACCCCACAGCACAACATCACACGCCTGCACATGCCCCAGCCCGCGGCGATCACAACCTTTGAACATCTCCGGCCTTGGCTGGCGCCAGTTTGTGCAGAGCCCCTGGAGGGCATTGTGGCAGCTACAGCAGCAGTATAGCGAGAGGCAGGGGCAGGGGCCAGCAGCATGACGGAGGATGGGGGCCGCAGGGCCAAGCGCCGCTGCGCTCGCAAATACACCTCCACGGCCATGCCCTCGGCCATACACTACGTGGGATATGTGAGCGGCTCGGCATTGCCTCGCTGCAAGCTTGAGACGATGGCGGTCGCGGCGCCTGGCTGGGCGCGCCCCAAGTTGCACCGTTGAACAATTCCATCTGCGCAGGTGGAGGATGACGAGACGCCGGAGATGATCATGGCCAAGTTTGCCGAGCTGGAGCGCATCAAAGTGGCAGGGAAACAGGCCCAGGCGGCGCAAACAGTCGCGGCGGCAGGCGATGCGCCTGTCAGCGGCGCGCCGGTGGCAGCGGATGCAGGCGCATGCGCAGGAGCAGCAGGGCAAGACACGCAGCAGCAGCAGCAGCAGCAGCAGCAGCAAGACATGCAACAGCACGGCGCAGCGGCAGCAGCAGCGGCAGAACCGCCAGGCGGCACAACGACCGCCGCTGGCGGTGCCGAGGCCGGCGGCGGCGAGGGGCAGGGCGGGCTGACGGACGAGCAGCTGCTGGAGGTGTTCAAGCAGACCAGCATGTTCAACGTGCGCACTGCCCTCCAGGACAATGAGATGCTGCTGGGCATCGACGAGATTCTGGAGGCCACCAACGAACGGTGTGTGTATGTGGGTGTTGGGGGGGCGGGCAACAGGGGCTAGCGTGCGGTCATGTCATTTGATGGGCAGGCCTAGTGAGGGGCAGGTGCTAGGGAAGGGACATGGCTGGGTGTAGGTGGGCACATGGATGGTCATGCTTTCCTTTGCTGTGCTGCGCCATCCTGCCTGCCTGCGCCTGACCACCCGCCCGGCCCGTGCCCCCCGCCCCGGCTGCAGGTATGCTGATGAGGAGGCTGTGTCGGATGATGAAGACATGCTGCGTGCCTTCTGGTCTGACGAAGGTGCGGCGGCAGCACACCATGGGGCTGCAGCGTGCTGCTGGCAGCCTTGCCGCAGGTGTTGATTTGCATGGCCGTGTTTGTCGGGCATCTGTAGGGCCTGTGCCTGGTTGCCTGCTCCTGCAGATGAAGTGTCACTGAGCGACTTGGAGGATGACGAGGCGGGCGGGCGGCGGCGCCGCCGCGGTGGCGGCGCCGGCCGCATCGCTCGTCAGGGCAGTGGGCCGGGGCGGGGGCCGGGCCTGCAGCGCAACGCCGCCTGCGTCAGGGCGCGGCACAACGTCATCACGGCTTTCAACCCGATCACGCAGGTGGGGCAGGAGGCGGGCCTGGGGAGGGCGGGGTCGGGAGGGGGCCCCAGTGGCTGGTGCTTGAGCTGCGGCCTATGGAAAGGGCTTGCTGTCGTGTTTACGTGCATTTGCACCACGTGTGCTGTTGTTCTTGCCCGCTGCCCCATTGGTGCCATGTCCAACCGCCCTTGCAGGCGCTGGTGCGGCGCAAGGTGCGGGTGGGGAGCGAGCGGGAGGAGCTCTATCATGTGCGGGTGCCGCCGGCGCCCATCCCCGTGTCCTGGGGCCGCACCGTGCAGCCCTATGTGCCGCTGGACAGGCGCAGCCAGCGGCCCATGGCAGGTGGGGAGCAGCCGGGGCTGGCTGGCACAGCCTGCGCGGCAAGGAAGCGGCGCCGAGTGCAGCGGCAGCAGCGCCGCACTTCTGCGGCTGCCATTGGCACCGCATCGCACGCTGCCGGGCAGCCAGTGCGCACCGGCTGGCTCCTCACCCCACCCGCCCCTGGCCCTGCTCCCCATGTGCTGCAGTGCCGGTGCCGCCGGCGCTGCTCAAGGCGATGGAGGAAGGGGGTCGGGCGATGGACATTGCTCCCATGGAGCGGTGCGTGTACCGCGAGGAGTGCAGCATACCAGACGCGGACTGGGGCGGCCTGCTGCCGGCAGCTGGCGGCGGCCACCAGGCCGTGCTCATCAACCCGGGCTGGGAGTGCGACGGGCGAGGCGACGCGGCGGTCCAGGTGGGGATGGGGTTGTGGCCGGCTCTTATGGCGGCGCGCTACCACTGGGGAGCAGCAGACCATCTCCCTTGGCTGCGCGTTTGGTGTGGCTGTGCATCCCACGCCTGACCCACTCCTGCTCCCTGTCGTGGCCGGCCGCCCCTCCTGTACAGCGCCTGGCCAGGCTTCCCATGCGGCGGCTGGTGCCCAAGGGCTTTGTGTTCATCTTCGTAGAGAAGCAGCACGTGCAGGCGCTATGCCGACAGGTGCGGCAGTCTGCCGGCTGGCCTACAGTTGTGTGGCGGACCGCATCCGCTTTCGCTCCTGCTGCCATGTGCCAGCCCCCTCCTCCATCCACCCCTGCGCACATGCATGCCCTGCTGCTCATTGCGCTGCTGCCTGTCCATTCATTGTTTTCTTTCTTTCTTCCCCGCTCCTGCAGATGCGCGCCTGGGGTTACTGCTACATTGAGAACCTGACTTGGGTGTACCTGCGCCCTAACAACCACATCCTGGAGCTGCCCTCCCGCTACACCAACTCCAGCCACATCACGCTCTACATGTTCCGCCGGGAGGGTGCGTGGTGGGATGGGGCTGAAGGGAAGGCAGTTGGCAAGCTGCCGGCCCTGGTGGTGACAGCCTGCGACCTCTCAGCCTGCCCTTCCCTGACGTCTGTTGGGTGTGCTGCCTGCGGCAAGTGCAGGGGAGGGCAAAGACATTGAGTTGCGGCACCAGCGCAACCCTGATGTCACCTTTGATTGCCTCGTCGGCGCGGAGGGTAGGCAGGCCTGGGTGGCTGGTTGCACGCAACAGGGGAGAGGAGATAGGCCGAGACGTGCCTGGGCAATGAATGGTGTGCTTGTGCGCACCGTGGTGCCGCAGTGTGATGCCCCTCCGCTCCCCCTGCCATGCCTACAGGCGGGCGGCGGGCGGTGCCAGAGGAGACATTTGTTGCCATTGAGACGCTGCTGCCCACCGGCAAAGGGCGGTTCCTGGAGCTGTGGGCACCACAGGGCGTGCACCGGCCCGGCTGGACGCACGTGGTGGAGGTGGGCGCCGCGGAGAGCTGACGGACACACGCAGCAACGAGTGCAGCAGGGAGCCGGAGCGGCAGGGAGGCGACGAGGCTGTGAGCGACAGCGCCAGTGGCGGCACAGAACCGGTTTCGTTATGTAGGCTCTCTGAACGCACTGTATGACAATGCTATTCATGCCTCTCGATCCCTGGCTTCTGTTACTCCAGCGCGTTGGTTTGCATTCACAGCCACTCATAAATTACTGAGTCGAGAGCGTGAAGCAATTGCATGTAAGCCTTTGCCACTGCTGGCACTATCGCGTGCCCAGCACCGCCCTGAACGCCTCCACCACCGTCTTGCACTCCACCAGGCGCGCCCCTCTGAGACGCGCCGAGGCGTGCACGTTGCTGGAGGCGGGAATGACAAAGGTCTTGAAGCCCAGCTGTATTCGCAGCGCGGGGAGGCAAGGAGGCAGAACCTCAGCTGGGCAGGCAGGCAGGCCACAAGGTCTGTGTTTGTCAGGAACATGAACACACCTTGGCTGCCTCAGCGATTCGCCGCTCTATGTTGCCCACCGGCCGAAGCTCGCCACCCAGACCTACCTGCACATGGCCAGCACAGCGCAGCCAAATGCAGCAGACTTGTAAGCAGCGCATTGCCAGCTGCCAGCACGTGACAGGTCGATGCCTGGCCACAGAGCGCGTTACAACGCAGCGGCAGGGCTGCTGGCGCTGCCCCGTGCCTCTCCAATCATCACCACGTCCCGACCAATGGGCTGCTCGAAGTAGCTGCTGGCAATGGCGCAGGCCACGGCCAGGTCTGTGGACGGTTCCTTCATTTCCAGTCCTGCAGCAGTGGAACAGCGGCGGGGAGAGCAGCAAGAGATGAGGAGAGGCGTGGCGCGCTTCAGGGTGCCCTGCTGCGCGCATGCTGAAGGTCTTTTCAAACCCGCCCGCAGTGCTCACCCCCTGTCACATTGAGGTGCACGTCCACGCTGTATGGCCGCATGTCGGTGTGCTTGCCCAGCACCGCCAGCAGCAGCGCCAGGCGCTGGCGGTCGACGCCGCTGGGCATTCGCATGGGCGGCTGCCCCGAGCTCTGCGGCACCGGGCTGCACAGCGCCTGCACCTCCATCAGCAACGGCCGGGTGCCCTCCAGCACGACTGCGGGCGCCGAGGGGAAGCGGAGGTTAGGGGCAGGCAGGACTTCAGTGCTGGTGCTGCCAATGAGCTCACTGAACACAAACCACTGCAAGGTTGTGATGCATGGTGCACAGCGTGGCCCGGCGTGCACAGCATGGCGCACCTGCTACCGCGGAGGAGACATTGGGGGCAAGGTCTCGGTCAGAGAGGAAGATGGAGGAGGGGTTGGGGACCACCTACACACGGTGGGCAGATGGGCGGGCAGTCTCAAGGGCAGGAGGGGAACCGGGCATTCAGGACGGAAGCACAGCAGGGCACACCGTCCCCCCCAAGCAGGCCGAGCGGTTCCCCACCTTCTGCCACCCAAGCGCACCTGCATGCCGTCATCGTGCATCTCAAACACGCCCACTTCATCGGTGTTGCCATACCGGTTTTTGATGCTGCGCACCTGCGGCAGCAGCAGCCAGGGCAGCAGCTCAACGGCGGCTCCCGCAAGCACTGGGGCTGCTGCCTTCAACGCCTGCCCAACAAGTCGCCAATGCACCCAGCTGCTGACTGCCACGCCAGGCACCCCACTGACCAGGCGCACTGGCTGCTGCCTGCCACCCTCCATGTAGATGACTGTGTCCACAATGTGCTCCAGCACACGGGGGCCTGCAGGCAGGCAGGAGGCGGGGCAGGCAAGGGACGCAAGCAATTGGGGGCTTACAAAACAAGCGCTGGAAACTCTTGCACGTGGAAAAAGTGGCGGCAACAACAAGGCGCCGCTCAAACCACCACCACCCAGGCAACAGCGCAGCAGCGTGCGGTGGCGCACCCGCGATGTCGCCGCTCTTGGTGACGTGCCCCACCAGAAAGACAGGGATGCGCTCGCGTTTCGCCACCTGCAATAGCGCCGTGGCGCACTCCCGCACCTGCAGCGCACGGGTTCCGACACCGGAGCATAGGGTGGTCAGCGAGATGTCGGGCAAAAGGAGCAGGGGGAACAGGAACGGCCTGCTTGCCTACACAGCATGCACCTGCTTTGTTGCATGGCCCCACTGATGTCCACTGCCGGTGGCAGGGTGTGCCACACATACCCACCCATCCCTTGTCCTCCGCGCACCTGCGTCACGCTGCCCGCGCTGCTGGACACCTCATCCAGGTAGACCGTCTGTATGGAGTCCACGACCACGGCAGCCGGCTGCAGCCGGATGATTTCGTCGAGGATGGCGTCCAGGCGTGTGGCAGAGTACACAAAGATGGAGGGGTTGGAGCCGACGGCAGGGCCCATGCGCTCCGCGCGGCTCCCTATCTGCTCCACAGACTCCTCCCCCGACACGTACAGCACAGTGGCGCCGCCGCTCGGGGCCTGCCGGTCGCCGGCGGCGCCGGGCGCACCCCCCTCTCCCTCTCCCTCCTGCTGCGCCGGCGCGGCTGGCTGCTGCACGTCCTGTGGCCGCTGCGGCTGCTGCTGCTGCTGCTGCTGCGCCGGCTGTGCGTCAGAGGACGTGCTGGCCTGGGTCAGCATGGCTGCCATCTGCAGCAGCAGGGTAGACTTGCCCACACCTGGCTCGCCGCCGACCAGGGTCAGCGAGCCGGGCACCACGCCGCCGCCCAGCACGCGCCCCAGCTCCTGCCCATTCTCCCCCGGCAGCACCAGCCGCCAGCGGGAGCGGAAGCCGCGTCGGCTCACATCGCTCAGGCGCTGTGGCGCTGCGGCAGGAGGAAGAAGGGGCAGGGGGGTGCTGCTAGCAGCGCGCAGGTGCAGGACATCGTGCAGAGCCAAAATGCAACGGCAGGCAGGCAGCCCATGAAGCAGCACGTGACGGCAGACCCAGCAACAGGAGAATTGCACACCTTCGACATCCTGCACCCACGCTGATCGCCGCAGCGACCTGCTGGCACCAGCAGCCCGCCCGCCTGGCCCTGGGCCGTCCTCGGTGCCGCTGCCGGCGCTGCTCTTGCCGGCGGCAAAACGTGCGGCAGCTCGGGCGCCACTGCCGCCCCCCGACTCTGCTGCCGCCTGCACTACCACCTTCTCCAGCGAATTCCAAGCCCCACATGATTTGCACTGCCCCGCCCTGCATGTGAGGGCTCAAAACGGGTGGCCTCGTCAGCTAAGCGGTAGTGGGGGCGGTGGCAACAGGGCGGCGGCATCTGCTTGCATGCTCTCACCACTGCGCTGACTGCTCTCCACACCCCCCGCAGATGTAAAGCTGCTTGGACTTTGAACTGGAGCTGGCGGCACGAGAAACCACAAGGCAGCGCTCTCTGCGGCCGGGCCGGCGGTGCAGACTGCCATGGCGCGATGCTGCAGCGCTGCTTATTAGTCCCCTGGCGCTGATGAACGACGGGGAGGCCAGCAGGGCCGGGCAAGGAGTGGCGCAGAGCCGCATAGACGCCCTCAGCAGCAGGGCTGTCACGGCAGCCCGCATGTGCTTCTGATCGCACAGGACTGATTGAAGGACACAAGGCAGGGGCCTACAGAGGGCACTCCTGGATTTGTGCTTCGCCCGCTGCGCGGCGCCAGCCTGTTGGCGGCGAAGCTGCCGCAGGCCTCTGTATTGCTGACGGCTATTTCATCCCCCTGACTCATTGGATATAACCTTGTCACCCCCTTCAGGAGCATCCACAGCTCCTCAAGAGCCCTGGGAGACCCGCTCTGCAGTTAAGCCTGCGCTAGGCGATAACGGAAGGCCTTGCGGGGACCCCAGCCGCTCCTAAACGCTCCATAATCGCCGTCTGACGGATGAGAGTGCGGTCAGGCGAGACCCACGGAGCGCCGGGTGGGCACATGCGGCGCATGCGTGCTTGGTCGCCTGTGCCTGTGCAAACTCAAGCGACAGCTGCGCCTCCGAATCTCTTACAACCCCTCTTGGCCGCAGGCAGGGCGCAGGCGCGATGCGGATGGAGCTGGACGACGAGTGCGACAGCGGTGCCCACTTGGCGCCGGAAGACATCGGCGAGGAGGGCGCCGAGGAGCTGGGCTGTGAACACGACTCGCCCCGCACCCAGCTCATCAAGGCCAATATCAGGCTGGTGGGTCGATGCGCGGGCTAACTGCAGGGCATTCGGCAGGAGCCGGTACATTGACTAAACCGCCGGCGCGCCGACCACCCACCGGCCACATTGCCGACCTCCCCTCCTCTGCCCCACGGTGCGCCTGCCCCTTCAGGTGGAAACCATCCCCATCCAAAGCTGCATAGACGGGCAGCGGCGGGCCGCCACCGGCGCCAACAACCGTTCTGGCTACCGCGGAGTGCGGCGGGTGAGGAAGGCCTGGCCGCCAACGGGCAGCGGTTGCATGGCCGTGCCTGCCAGGCCCATTGCATGCGGGGCTAGACCCTGATCCCTGGATCGTGTGGGTTCAAGCTCCAACCTGTCCCCACGACCGCGTGTGCACTTGCAGCGCCCCTGGGGCAAGTGGGCGGCCGAGATACGGGACCCATCCCGATCCACCCGCCGCTGGCTGGGCACATATGACACACCCGCTGAGGCTGCCCGTGCCTACGATGCCGCCGCTGTGGCCATCCGGGGTCACAACTCCCGCACCAACTTCGCTTACCCGGGCCTCCAGCTGGACAGCCTGGTGCCCCAGGGCAGCAAGGGTGGCAGGGTGAGTGGGAAGCTGGGCTGCTGCCGCCGACGCCACTGGTACCGCTGATACCTGAAGGCGGCACGCGTCCCAATTCCCTGACACGCAATTCTGCTCCCCTGGCTACCCGTGCAGAGAGCGGCAGCAGCAGCAGCTGCCCAGGCTCAGCACGTCAGCAGCGAGACCTGGGGCCGCCAAGCGGACCGCCCAGGCGCCAGTGCTGCAGCGGCAGTTGTAGCAGCGGGGCCGGGGCTGCACATCCCGCAAATTACCTTCCGGCCCATCCAGCCTGAGCCAGCAGTATCCGCTCCTGTGGCTCCCGTGCTGCACATTCCCCTGCCCGTACCAAGGCCCTTGGCAGCCAATGCCACAGCGCGGCGAGCAGGGGCGGCAGCAGCGGGGGGCCATCATGGCGGCAGTGGCAGCGATCTGTTTGCAGGCAGCGGAGTGAGCCTCAATGTCCCCGAGGCCGGCGGCATGCCAGCTGCATCCTCCTTAGCGTCGCAGGGGTACCGCCACCAACCACACGGCAGGCAGTGCGAGCGGGAGGGCCGGTTGTGGCGGCTCAAGCAGGAGGACAGCGCTGCAGAGGTGAGTGAGTGGTGCGGGGGCAATGGACAGGTGTCTGATGGCAGCATCACCCCCTGCAGGTAGGCCTCCCGGTAAGGATGTGCCCCATGATGGGCATGATGGCCCCCCACCTGGAGGGTCATTGGGGACATCATCCTCAATCATGCATCATTCTCCCTCCCGTTTGTTCTGTTGGCATCCCAGCAACCGTAATATGCTTTCTAGGACATGAGCCACCACTTTAGGGTGAAGGTGGTTAGCAAGACCACGGCCCCCAGGCCTCTAGACGGGCCACAGCCAAAAAGATCCCGTGCAAGTAGACCAGGACAACAAGCTCCCTTCAATGTGCCAGGGCAGGCCAGGCGGCGGGGTGAGAGGGATGACAACGAGGATGAGCGAGCACCCAGCGGCTTCTTAGGCTGGGGCGACCGGCAAGGACGCAAACGTGATCACTGGGAGGCTCGGCTCGGAGCGGACGTGGATGCCTTCTTGGCCTCTCTGCCGGGCCGGGCGGCGCAGCAGCGGCAGGAGCGCCAGCAGCAGCTCCAGCAGCGGCAAGCCCAGCTGGCCAGCATGGAGCCGCTTCCTTGCCACTTAGCAGCAGAAAATGGCAGCTGCTGTGAGTTGCACAAGACGGGCAGCCAGGCAGCTGTGTTTTATGGGCCGCTCGGCGTGGTGGGCAGGCTCACGTTGCCGGTATGGGAGTGCAAGACGCATGGGCGCCCCAATATCACCGTGCACCCTCTCCAGATCAGCTGTGTGCCGACTGCGCCAGTCAATAACACCAAGCTGCTTGATGTGGAGCTTGTCAGGCAGTTCCGCTTGCTGCAACTGCTCAACGGCGTGGGG